CCGCCTACCACACCCAAATTCGACAGGAGATATTGGTAGCCATCGGTTGGATATTAATCAAAATTTGTCCGGCCAAGAGACGACAGTTTTAAAGCGAAGTAATGTATCCGACGACAGCAATCTTTAGAAGTTTTAAATAAGATATTTTAAAAGTATTTTTTTTCGTTTTTCGGTCATTAACAGCCAAAATAACTGATTATTTTCAGTTTAACACGCAGTTTAAAATAATAGTTTTGAAATGTCAGAAGTGAAAATACAAATAGTTGCTGCAAACGGATTTTAAAAAGCGGTAAATTTTGCACGTTGCAAATGGGGAATTCAACCCTTGAGTTCCACGAGTGTTGTTTTCAACCTAAACTCATCAGAGGAGAGCTTATAGGTTCGAAACCGGTCCTGAGGGTGCCTAAGACTATTCTATTTCACGATATGTACCTACATACTTCTATCGGTAAAATTCCCGGCCCTATTAGTGCAGAAGGTTTATTTTTTTCTTCAAATATTAACTTTGTTGTTGAAGTGTAAATCTTCTGCAATGGTGCGAATTTCATTAATATAAAACAGTAAATTTTGAAACATTTTTCGGTTTAATCTTTTTTTATAAAGCAGACATTTATGAACGTATCTTAAAGGCAAGCTCCTTTTTTTATATTATCATCAAAACTGTTTGTGTAGGAAATTAGCCATTAAAAATTGGAAAATGAAGCGGTGTAATTCTAACGCCACAAATAAAAAACTGTAGTTACAAAACTGTGAAACTTCTGCAAGGCTGATTTATCCTTTCAGTCATTTTTTGAATTGATATTGTTAGTTTTTGTTCTCTAGATTGATCTTCAAAAGTAAGAATTCAGTGGAGCCAACAGGTTTTAAACTATCTTTGATTCCTCATTGCAACATATGGATTAGAAAATCCGGTTCTTAATCTACTCGATTTTAAATTGATGTGCGTTAGAAAATGTTGAGTTCAGTTGTAAGCATCTGATAATATTTAATAAAGGACAATTTTTGCTGTTTTTTATACGACTTCTTGTCCGTTTTGCTTCATTTATTTGTTTCACGCATTAATTCAGAGAAGAATTCAGAAAAGCAAAATACCTTAATAGTTTTCGGGTTTCCGTAAGTTATAAATAAGAAATAGTTAAATAACTTTTATTAGCTCTTAAATTAGCCAGATAATATTGAAAAGCAAATATGTATATCAGAAATCTTTTATATTCGTTGATTTTAAAACAGCTTAGACTGGAAATAGTCTTTCAGGTAATACAATGCAACATCTATTTAAAACTAAGGTTCCAAGTCATTTACCATTAGTTAATCAGCAAATGCATTTTCATGGTCAGTCAGATCGTTTGCCAATTGTATTATCTAGAACACTATTATTAAAACACCAAGTACGTTTTCAAAAATAAGTAAAATCGGCGCATATATGCTGAATATGACGTCCTCAGCCAGGACTTTTTTAATCATTTTTTTAAATTTGTGAATGGGTTGCTTGATTTTTGTGTTCACCTTTTTTATAATTCAACTCATACTATTTGCACAAACACGCATCCACTTACAACTGATTTATTTACATACCACGAAATACATAATAGCGGCAAACATGTTCATTGTTCCTCATACAAGTACATTGTTGTGAAGCTGTGGCCAATTTTACAAAAAAATCCATTTATTTTGGTTCGGATTATGCGGCCGCAGTAGCAGTGCCAATGATTTTATGAGGGGATAATTTAATGGGTTTTGGCCCCATACGCAGTACGGCAATATGAATAAATCGGTTAATTCTATTCGGGTTATTATGCAACTTTCTGTGGTTTAGGTAAAATCATCAGATAATTGTGGACAATTATTGAAATTACTGGATTTTAACCGACAATATCTGCCCCATTGTGGGACATGGGATACGTTTTTTTGTTGGGAAACTACTTTTTTGTTTGAAAAACGTGCTTTAGAATTTTTATTTTTGATCGAAAATTTTATGTCTGGGTTTTTTCGGAAAACTTCCAGTTGTAGAAAATGTATCGAAAAGGGAAATCTGACGAATCCACAAAATAAGAAGCTCCGCTGCTTTGAACAGAAATAATCCACTATTTTGGACCATTTTTTAAAACTTCCGGTTTGTAACGGACGTTTCCTGCTTTATTCTGGACTTGTACTACATATTCGGGTGCTTCTTGTGTCCAAAACAATATCATAGAGGTCGAAAAACGCGAATATAAAATTTCAATTTTTGGCCGAAAATTTCGAAATGCTTCAAATTTTACGTTATATTCATCGCAAGAAAACGGACAATCCGACTAGGCAATAAAATAAAACACTCTGCAATTCTTGACCAAAAGGTCGGAAATATTTTTTTTAGGAAAAATACTCGCATATAAAACATAGGAGATTTTTAAAAGAGATAAAAGACTTATCCGAAAAACAAAAATATATTACAAATTCTACAGCATCGCCAACACAAGAAAAACCAAAATCCATCCTATTTCTATGTAAATTACGAATGTATGTATATGTAAAATAATGTTAATAAATTAACTAACATTGCAATTCTAAATTGAAAGTTGTCTTCTTTGATTTATCTTCTTATTTTCGCAGTATAATTCAAACGTTTTCACTTTGATCAGCTAATCGAAAACAGGAACTAAGTTATCCAATTACGGAAAGACGATAAGCAGACAATCCCCTAATTATTATTGCGTTATCCAAGCAAATAGCAGTTATATTTATACATAAACAGACAATCAATTAAGAAAATGTTAGACAGTAAAAAGAGCAAACCAGCAGAAATTTTGGATCCCAGCCAATATTGGAAAAGAATTAAGAGTTTCGGTGTCAAACGGTTATGATTTTGGCTTATGGAAATATTAATCGGCGACAATCAGATCTACGTTTTAAAACATGCTGTTTACTGGGGACTTTAGTTGCACCTCTATGCTTTTGTGCATTTTAATGTATATTTATAACGATTACACTGCAGCAGCTTTCTATATTTATTCAGGTTTAAACAGAAGTTTAATAATGTTGCCATTGTCACATTTAGAAAACAGTTATATTTCAACAAGTCGTTTCGATTTTTTTTTTAATTCTGCTGGACGTTTTACTACTCAAGTTATTGTCGTATTGTCGAACGGTTAATAATCAAACGTGCGCTAGCATCAAATGAGTGCTAAGCTTTGATTTTATGCCCAGAAGGTTAGTAAAACTACAAGAAACCCTCATAAATTTGAAAAAAAAATCACCGCTTAACTTGTTTATGGGTTTAGTGTACTAAACAAATGTGTTCTCTATTTCTTTTATACTCTGAAGTTGCGTTAATCTTATTTATTTGGATCTTCATTTTGTAGGAATTACTACCCTGGTGTTTTTTTTCTTTATCAAATATATTTTTGTACATGTTTCAAAACAAAAACAGGATAAAATTTGCTAGGAATCAATGAGACATTTTTGCATTATTTTGACTGAAATCTGATTATTTTCCTCTTTCATAACATGAACCGGATTCCGGTTATTCAAATCAACGTAATCTAATATAAATATACTAGATTAAGTGGTCAAGTTATCTCAAATATGTCCACTATGATGAATAGTTCTATTAAATATGCAGTTTTGAATACACAATTTCACTTTGCACTTTGGCGAGTGTATAAATTCAACTTTGAAGTTTTATAAACAGATCATATTTTGACACTGAGATTCACTTTTCGCTAAGCATATTTGAAAAGGTTTCTTCGTTTTAAATTGCGAAATTATATAATTCAATACACGTCAAATGAAAACTGAAATTTTCGGAAATACAAGGTGTTTAAAGTCGCAAATTGAACCCGTTTTTGGCCATTATTCTGAAAAATATCTGGGTCAGCAAATTGAAATTTTGTCGTTTTTAGATAATTTTTTTTGTTTTGTTTTCATATCGCTGCTCATATCATATTATAGAAGGCGCTATTTGCGATCAATCCTGTCGACATTTAAAGTAAAACTTTCATCCTGTACGTGTAACACCACATTCGGTTCAAAATCTAAAATTTCCAATAATTTTAATTAAAAAAAATTGAGCAATAATTTCTACATAAATTAAGTATTCTTGTTTCATATTGATATTTTGGCTCGTTTTTGAGATAATTCCCCAGGCGAACCAATGGAGTCTGAAAATTCGATCCTTGATTTGCGACAAACTTGAGAAATCCAGAGGTTTGAAGTCCGGATTTCTGGAAAATGTGATGGAGCTCCATCTTGCATGCGCTTTTATCCTTAAATGAAGTGGAATATCTTAAAGAAATTCGGCCAAATTGCCAAAAGTTTTTACAGCGTGGGGATTTTCAGAGTTGCACAGATAAATATTTTGCTAGTTAGTTAAAACTACACGATGCCGCATCGGTAACCAAAATTTTCTCAAAAAAGTTCCATCGATGGTTGTTTCTGTAGAAAATGGGCAAAACGTAAATGAGCAGGACGATCTTGCGGCATCAAATTATGTACAGGAGTAAATCTTACTCGTCACAAAATTTCAAATTTCTAACCCTTTTTTTTAAAACGATGGCAGTTACCGGATTGGCCATTCTTAATGAATACGTTTTTTTATATTTATATTTCGCATTTTATTCCTCAATGCTTTACATTTACAAATAATAGTGGTTTTCAAAAGTGAGAATGAATTTGCCTCACGCTACTCTGACTAAGAATCGAACGGTTTATTGGTGATTTTTTTGCAAATTTAGGCGGATAGACTATTCTTTCTGTACAAACTTTCAACCTTGCCTTGGAGACAAAAATCTTTAAAACAAGCAATTCTGAAGGCCATCTTTTGAATTCCCTTGGCCCATTAATTACTTTATTCACTTTTCATACCAAAAAAGCACAAAAGTACATGAAATTATACAAATTGAATGTTCGGCTAAGCATTGAAGATACTGAAGAAAAACGCACCTTAAATAGTAAATCCAAATAATCCGACTAGTGACCATCGTTGACGAAAAACCGCTAATAGACTTGCTTGTTGCTTTCAGATAGAATGTCGAATGGCCCCTCTAAGGCACCATGAGCTCCCCAGTTGGGGAGCCGGGGGCGGCAGCCCGAGCCGCTGCCGCATCAGGCGACTGCGCCACTTTGGGTCGACTGTTACCAGCGCGGGGACCTGCGCGATTCACACGAGATGC